CCTCCCTGGTTATGGAATTGGAGGCTGGGGCAGTGAAGTTGAAAGATCCCCTGATCTTTACACAAATGGATGGCTCTACAATGAAAGATCCGTATGAGTACAAGACTGTGCCGTTGCGAATCGGGGCGGGGGATCACTGGGAGGACAGAGCATTCATGATCACCTCAACCACCAGGTTCCCGCTAGTCCTCGGGGCCCCGTGGCTGCATGGCCACGATCCCTACATCTTGTGGGATGAAGGGAAGGTACAGTTCATTTCACCTAAGTGCCGGGGCCACCGCTGGAACCCGGAATGGAGCCAGCAGCCGATAGCTGAAGACCCTAGAGTATGTCTAGCTCAGGAGGAACTGCTCACCATTCCCCCCGAGTATTGGGATTTGGCTAGGGTGTTCGAGGAGGAGGAGGAGGATGAACTCCCCCCGCATAGACTGTAGCATTGAACTGTTACTGGGACAGAAACTTCCCAAGGGGCGCATTTATGCGATGGGACCGGCCGAAAAGGAGGAACTATGCAAGTTCATTGACAAAAAATTAGCCTGTGGGTTCATCCGACCGGCCTCGTTTCCCTACGCGGCCCCGGTGCTGTTCCGAAAGAAAAAGGATGGGGGGCTGTGACTCTGCACGGATTACTGGGGTTTAAATGCATTGTCTTCCACTAATGCCTATCCCATGCCGTTGATTAAAGACTTGCTCCCTAAAGCGGCGAAAGGGAAAATATTCTCCAAGCTGGACCTTCGAGATGCCTACTTTCGGGTGCGCATCAGGGAAGGGGACGAGTATAAGACCACTTTCAACACCCCCCTAGGCCAGTTCAAGTACCGGGTGATGCCCTTCGGCCTTCAGGGGAGCCCGGGGGTCTTCATGAACCTGATCAATGAAGCACAAGCATTTATTCAAGGGGGCGCTTGTTTACCTAGATGATATATTGCTGTACTCCCCCATCCTACCTTCACACATGAAATTGGTGTGAGAGGTCTTAACCACATTGCACAAGCACAAACTGTTTGCTAAGCTGTCTAAATGTGAATTCCACAAAACGCACATTGACTTCTTGGGATATCGGATCTCTGACCGAGGCCTAGAGATGGACCTGGAGAAAGTTCATGACGTGTTGGGGTGGGGGGGTACCCTGAACCCGACGACAGCTCCAATCCTTCCTCAGTTTTGCGAATTTCTACAGAACATTTTTACCCAACTTCGCCCAGGTCAGCTTACCCCTCACAGATCTGCTAAAAACTAAGGGGAGGGGCCCAGAGGCTACTAAGCCAAGTGCCACGCTTCCATGGAGTAAAGAGTGTCAGGAGGCATTCAATCGCCTCAAAGCCTTGTTCACCTCAGAACCGGTTCTTGCCCACCCCGATGAAACAAAAAAGTTTGTTGTGCAAACTGATGCGTCTGATGTTGCCATGGGGGGCGATTTTGCAAGAAGGGGGGGATGGATTGTTGCATCCATTAGCTTACGTGTCAAGGAAGTTCAATGACATTGAACATAACTGGTCAGTATGGGAAAAGGAGACAGGGGCAATAAAGCTCGCCCTATCCACGTGGAGGCATTGGTTGGAGGGGGCGAGGTCCCGTTCGAGGTGTGGACTGATCATAAGAACTTAGAAATTCTTAAAACACCTCGATGCCTCAATGCTCAATGCTAAGCAGCTCCAGTGGGCCGATTTCTTTTCCAAGTTTCAATTCACCTTGCACCATTTCCCGGGTTCTGCGAACTCTTTGGCTGACGCCCTGTCCCGCCTACCCCAACATGACACCCAACGAGATGTAGTCTTTGACTCGGTGTTCACACCCTCACAGCTGGGCGGGGCGGTGACAACTTGCAGCCAAGCCCGCCTAACCTCTCCTCCCCCTGTGACGTTGCACCCGCCTTCTGCTGGGGCGGGGAAGGAGGAAACAGACACTTGGCACAGTAAATTCACCCCCGCCCTGTCGGAGGGGGATAAAGAAGTTCTTGAAGCGGAGGGGGATTTTGAACTACGGGACAATGGCTTTTGGCACCGGGAACATAAGCTGTTTGTTCCCCTCTCACTCAGGGGGGAGGTGTTACAGGCAGTGCATGGCTCCAAACTGTCCAGACACTCGGGGTTCGTTAAATCCCTTCAATTACTCCAAAGGCAGTTTTGGTGGCCACAAATGCGCAAGGATTTATCTTCCTTTGTTCAGTCGTGCCAAATCTGTGCCATGAGTAAACCCAGACCGGGTAAACCCCCGGGACTGTTACACCCGCTTCCTACTCCGAGTCGACCCTGGGAAGTTATTTCTATGGATTTTATAACTGACTTACCACCGAGCAAATCGATTACTGTGATTTGGGTGTTAGTGGATTTCTTTTCTAAACAAGCGCATTTCATTCCGTTCGCTTCACTACCCATGGCTAAAACACTGGCAAAAGCGTTTCTCCTACACGTGGTGAGGCTACACATGCTCCCCACCAAGGTGGTCTTCGACCAGGGGACCCAGTTTGTCTCTTGGTTCTGGGGGGCGCTGATGAAACTGATGGGAGTGAACGTGGCCTTAGCAGCGCTTACCATCCAGAAACCGATGGCCAGATTGAACGAGTTAATCAAAGTTTGGAACAATATCTGCATCGTTTTGCTAACTATCAACAGGACAATTGGAATGACTTGTTGCCCCTCGCCAAATTCTGTTATAATAATACTTGTCATTCTTTCACGGGGATGTCCCCGTTTAAGGCGCTGTATGGTTATGACAGCCCGTCTGTCCCCTTCCTAGAAGGGGACATGGACATGGGGCCAGGGGATGCTGCTCAATGCTGTAAACAATTGCGGGACTCTTGGTCTCTACTGTGTAAGACTTTGACAGCTGCCAAAGATGCATATAAGGTGCAGGCTGATAAGAGAAGGGTGGAGGGTTGGGCTCTACAGCCTGGTGACTCTGTGTATGTTTCTACTAAAAATATCAAGATGTTATGGCCAAGTCAGAAGTTGGATTGGAAACACATTGGCCCGTTTAAGGTGAAAAAGATCATCAATGATGTTGCTGTGGATTTGGACTTGCCCAAAAAATTGAGAAAATTGCATTCTGTATTTCATTTCAGCTTCCTGAAGAGAGATTCAGGTTCCAGCTCCTGGCGTCCATCGAAACTGGTGCCCCCTCCTATCATGATTGAGGGCGAGGAACAGTATGAGATATCTAAAATTTTGGACTCTAAGATCAAACGAGGAAAGTTGATGTATTTTGTTGAGTGGGTGGACTTCAGACCCCAGCACCTTGATTGGGTGGAAGTAGGGGATATTCGGGCCCCTGAACTGTTACAACAGTTCCACTGTGACTTCCCAGACAAATTGGGAGAACTCCCGGAGTAACCGGGAGATCTCCCAGAATGGTCAGGAGCAGAGTTCCGTCTAAGCTGAGTTAGTGTGAGCTAGCTCACAGTTTTTTAGCCTCCAACTCACACATTATTGTCTCAGCTCAGGAAGGATGGCTCCAGAGCAAACTAATCCATGCAGTAGCCAAATCGCTCACTCAAAGCTTCAATGCCAGTAGCTCACAAAGTAGAATTATTGCTCACAAGACTCCATGGCTTAGAGGGAGCATTGGTCAGGAGAAGGTGAATTTTGAGAGGGCAGTATGTCAGCTATGCTGCCATGAAGGTTGGGGAGTTTGGTCTGTATCTGGTTAATTGCTGTTGCTTTCCTTTCAGCCAATTTCTCCAGGGGAGCTGATCTCTGTGAGCTGGGGATGAGCTGTAAAGGGGGGACATCTCCAGGTCCAGGTTTTGCCCTAGGGCCCAGGCTCACAGCATTGGCAGTGGGAGCGGGCTGGGGAAGGGGTTTTCCCCCCTCCAGAAAACGTGGGGTGTCTTCCCCAGTGCTTATACCCCTGGTTCTCCAGTTCGCCCATGTGGGTTTTCCTCTGCACCCACCCTCCACCCCAGGAGGCCTTGCAGTGAGGATACACCAACTCGGAGCTTACCAGCTGCTGTCCTTTATAAAGTTTGTATTCCCGGTACTTGGCTTTACGTTTTATGGCACACACGGCCCAGCCTGACAAAGTCCCATTTATGTCAGATCTGGCCCTCGTAACAAATGAGTTTGATGCCTCTGAGGGACTGGATCTTTCTATTAACAACATCAGATCCATTGAACATTTGTTCAGAATTTCATTCTGAACTCTTCATCTTCCAAAAACATGCCAGCATTTTCTTTAAAATCCTCAGACCACGTGCAATTAATTCCTTCTTGCAATATCCTCACAGAGTTGAAGGGTGTAATTCATGCCTCATATCCTTTCTGCTCCCTCCAGGGACTGTCTGCCCCAGATACCTGAATAATGCCCCCTCTGTTCCTTCTGATCCCTTCTCCAAGCCCACCTGTCCAGGGAAGACCCTGCACCACCATGGCTTCCCCTGCTGCCAATATGCCTGGGCACCTGTAACTGGAAGGAGGAGAAGGAGGAGATTGGATTTATACCCGAAGGAGTCTCAGAGCGGCTTACAAACTCCTTTCCCTTCCCCTTCCCACAACAGACACCCTGTGAGGTAGGTGGGGCTGAGAGAATTCCGACAGAAACTGCTCTTTTTTCAAGAACAGCTCTTATCAGAACTACGGCTTGCCCAAGGTCATCCAGCCAGGTGCAAGTGGAGGAGTGGGGAATCAAACCCAGTTCTCCCAGATTAGAGTCCACACACTTAACCACTACATCAAACTGGCTCTCCTGCCCTTCACTACCCAAAGGAGTCTCAGAGCAAAAAGCCTGTGAGGTAGGTGGGGCTGAGAGAGCTCTGAGAGAACTTGTGACTGGCCCAAGGTCACCCAGCTGGCTTCATGTGGAGGAATGGGGAATCAAAGCCAGTTCTCCCAGATCAGAGTCCGCGCTGTTCACCACTACACAAAGGTTGCAATATTTCGTCCAGAAGAGATGCAAGTAGTTACAAGCTTTAAACAAAACTTCCTCCCTTTTTATAATCCCCCCCACACCTTTTATCTCTTCTGCAGCAGTGAGTGACATAAGCGAGAATAAAGATTCCTTACTGTGAAGTTGATACACTGAGAAAAGTGGTTCTCAGCCACAGGCCCTTCCCAAAGATCGTAGTGGTCCATGTTGTAGTCGAGTGCAATCGTCAAGGTAACTGACTCATTGATGTTCTGAAGTTGCACACAGGCCTGGTTGGAAGTGTCGGACTCGAGGACTGAAGGCACGATCAGGACATATTCCCTGCAATGAAAGAACGAATTAAATAAAAGCTATGTCATGAATCAAACATTTTGGAGTTATGGCTTTTTAATGAATTCAGCACAACAGAGACAGCTGAGGTTAAGTTTTTGATATCTTCTTTAAGAACATAAGGGAAGCGCATGTTGGATCAGGCCAGTGGCCCACCCAGTCCAACACTCTGTGTCACACAGTGGCCAAAAATACCAGGTGCCATCAGGAGGTCCACCAGTGGGGCCAGGACACTAGAAGCCCTCCCACTGTTGACTCCCCCCCCCCAAGCACCAAGAATACCAGAGCATCCCTGGCCCCAGACTGAGAGTTCCTATCTATAGCATTTCAATTCTGACCCCTTTAGTTATACGTACCAACTACTTTCTGAATCTGTTAATTCCAGCTGGCTATCTTGCATCAGAGCCAAAATAAGTTCCCTGAATTTATCTCTAGAATCCTTATTTATGCTTTCTGAGTCTGAGGCCTTTTAAAAAATAAAATGGAGTTTATTGGGATCAGAGCAACAAACTCTTTATAGCCTGGTTAACAAAACCTGTTCTCCCTTAAACTTAGGGATTGTTCCAAATGCAAATCTTCCAGCTGTATACCTCTATCAACTCACAGCTCCAAATTTGCACAGAACCATATCCTTGGCTAGATTTAATGTTCTTCCTTCAACTATCTTATTTAGTAGATTCCAACGGACTCCCTATCCTAGCAGGTGCTGTCCTTGTATGAAGGACTGTGTTGAAACTGTCGCCCATGTTCTCCTCCAGTGCCCTCTCTATCTGGCATCCCATCGGGATCTTCTATATCCCATATTAGCCCAACTTTTAGAGATCTCTGGCCCCGGTCACACAGCCAGTGGCTGTTTGCCCCAGAGCAAAAAAACCCGCGGTAGCCCGATCACACGGTCCCCCGGGTCTCTGCACTTAGGCTGTTAGCTGGTGATCACACGGCGATGCTGCAGCGTGGCAAAGAAGTGGCGTGGCAAGTGTTTCATGTTTGTGCACATGCGCAGTTTCGCAGAGCAGCACTGCTTTCAGTTTTGTGTTTGTGTGCATATGCTTACGAAAAACATCCGGTTTGTGACGGGATGTAGACGGGCGCCGGATGCCATGGGATACTAGGGTTCCTGTGATCAGACGCCCGCCCCTGCCCCATGTTTTCTGGATACTAGTGCACTTTCCGAGGTACTTTTTTACTGCGCATCTTCGGCGGGACGCCACGGGTTGACCACAGGAGCACTACACTTCCCAGATGTTGCGGTGTGATCGCACCCCAAATCCACCTGACATTAGTCCCTTTAGCGTGGCAAATCCTCCATGTGACCGGGGCCTCTGATTATTTTAAGGTCCTTTTTTGGCTTGATAACCCAGATATAGAGATAACGGAAACCGTAGCAAAGTTTCTTTGCAGTGCCATGGTCACACGCCCTGATAAGCCCAGTGGGCTTATTATTTATTAGGTTTTATTATGCTGTCACTCTGTTTATTTATTCTGCAACTCTAATGTTTAACACTGCACAGATTTTGTATTTCGATTATTATCTCTACGTGTATGTACCAGTAAAGGCTTGTCTTGGTGAAACAAGAGCTTCTGAGGAAACATGACTCCACCGATTCATTGTTTGGCTCTCTCTTTCTAAAGAGATGTTTCGCAAAACGGAACCTACAGGTCTGATAGTAAACGTCTGACTTTGCAGAAAACGCAGTCGCACCGAGATAGGCACGGGGATTTCTCAACTCATTGCATTGAAGGGGGCCCAACGAGAGCGGTCGCCCTCTCCCAGAACTATCAGTGGCCTTCACCAGTTGCCTGCTTTTCCGCAACCAGGCTGCCAGTCTTGCTGCTAGGCATGGCTGCATAAAAAGTGAGACTGGTGAAATACGGGGATGAGGCAGAAGGGGAGAGCCAGTTTGGTGTAGTGGTTAAGTGTGCAGCCTCTAATCTGGGAGAACCAGGTTTGATTCCCCACTCCTCCACTTGCACCTGGCTGGATGACCTTGGGCAAGCCATAGCTCTGATACGAGCTGTTCTTGAAAAAGAACAGTTTCTGTCAATAGCTCTCTCAACCCCGCCTACCTCACAGGGTGTCTGTTATGGGGAGGGGAAGGAAGAGGAGCTCTGAGACACCTTTGGGTAGTGAAGGGAAGGGTATAAATCCAGTCTCTTCTTCTTCTCCCAAGAGCAGTCCTCGCAAGAGCTCTCTCAGCTCCGACTACCTCACAGGGAGTCTGTTGTGGGAAGGGGAAGGGGAAGGAGTTTGTGAGCCTCTCTGAAACACCTTTGGGTAGTGAAGGGCGGGGTATAAATCCAATCTCGTCTTCTTCTCCCAAGAGCAGTCCTCGCAAGAGCTCTCTCAGCTCCGACTACCTCACAGGGAGTCTGTTGTGGGAAGGGGAAGGGGAAGGAATTTGTAAGCTGCTCTGAGACACCTTTGGGTAGTGAAGGGCGGGGTATAAATCCAAAACTCTTCTTCTTCTTCTTAAATAAAAATAAAACAAATAAAAACTTTCTTTTCATCTTTCACGAGGGTAGAATTCCGTGGGCACCCAGTGAAATTGTGGGGAAATTGGTTTGGGACAGACAAAAGGAAACACTTATTTACTCAATGAGTAATTAAACAGTGGAATTCACTGCCAACAGATGCATTGATGGCCACAAGCACAGACAGCTATAAAAGGGGGAGTTAAGACAGGTCTATGAAGGGGAGGTCCATCAGTGTTTCCTGGCCATGGGAACTGAAGGGAGACTCCATAGCCAGAGGCAGCAGACTTCCAAATACCTCTGCAGGAAGCAGGGTTGTCAGCCTCCAGGTGGGTCCCGGGAACCTCCTCGAATTATAACTGTCCTCCAGACTACAATGATCAGTTCCCCAGGAGAAAATGACAGGAGGAGGAGGAGATTGGATTTAAACCACCTACTATACAGGTTGTCACTAGGTAGGTTTGGCCCCATGTCTATGTTAAGCTCAGGAGCAGCAGTGTGCTTCATGCTGTTCAGGGAGCATTGGCAGCTCTTCATTTCTATCCAATCACCGGGGAGAAAGCCTGTTCATTCACCTGATGATGAGGTCTGCCCACCCCCATCCCCAATTTTCTCTTTCATGGCCGCCACAACTTCTCCACTGTGGCATCAACACCTACGGGGGGCAACCTACCCTTCTCAGGAGGACCTGAGTCCCTGAAGTGTGCTAGACCTCCCTGTCGTGTCCCTAGACCTCCAGATTCATTAAATTAATGGCTGTTTTGCTTGGTGTTCTGGTAATGGCAGCAGGGTTTCTCAAAACACCCATGAACACACAGTCAGCAGCTGCTGAACATAAACAAGTATCCATATTTTTGTCAAGATTCAGCTCTTCATAATAGCAATGGCAGTTCAGAGTAACCCTCCTTGACAAGACATTTCCCCCCCAAGCGACTGAAGCTTTTAACAGTGATGAGTAGTAACTGCAATTTTTGTAGGACTAGTAATCTCTGTGCTTGTCTGCTGTGCAGGGGCCTATTTTTAGTAAAATAATGAATTACTTATTTCATTATTAGGACCTCTGGAGGTGTTTGTGGCATTCTCGGCCATGCCACACCTCTGTAGAGGCTTCCTGTGCCAAGACAATGTGATGGTTGGCCTCTTGCTCCATCCCAGCATGGCATAGCTTGGCCATCCAAGAGGCTTCTATTCATGCCCAACATGGCATACAGTTTTAGAAAATGTACTTTGAGAGTCCAGGACTTACCAGAGGAATTTCAGTTCTTTTGACGGAACACATGGAATTCAGTTTCCAATAGGTTCTAGAATGGGATGGGGGACACTCACTTTCAACTCTGACTCTTTTTTGTATGCTCTTACCTTTCACTGCCATTGACCAGCATAATCCTTCTTACAATGGAGCCACTTTGGTAGACTGGTTAAGAGCGGTGGACTCTCATGTGGAGAACTGGGTTTCATACCTCATTCCACCTGAAGCCAGCTGGGTGACCTTGGGTCAATCACAGTTCTCTCAGCCCAAAAAGTAAACCTAGCTTGACACACATACACACAAAGAGCTAGAGTTTCGGGCTGCCAGGCAATCTTTGGATCTCCTGGCTATACTATACCCACTGCCATACGATCGTTAAATAATTAATTAGAATGGGAGGTGCTAAAACAGTGTAAAGGAAGGTACCCAAAATTTAATTCCCTCCTTTGCCAAAATGCTCTCCCATGTTGCATAGGATTTGTAAATGCTAGACATTTTAGTAAGTTCACAGCGTCTTCTGTTAATGTATGATATAATGGATGACACCTCAAAACAGAGAAAAGCCAAGCCATAATGCATGATGGTATGGGACCCATTGCAATATGGCTATTTTCTGCATCTTTGGGGTAATGTGCAGAGTCCTGGGCCATGTGCTATGGTAAAGGTCTTCAGGTAGAGCTTCTCATATTATCTCAATGGGAAGGAACCACACAGAAGTGCCCCCCCCCCATTTTGGCTCAGTGTAAGAGTGCGGCCAAAGAAAGTTGATCGGACAAACAAAATTAGTCCAAAATTTGTCATGCTATTCAATTAAACTGCAGGATTTGCTACAGCAAGCTGAAATCTCCCTGACTCAAAATACCTTGAACTTCTGATCGCTGAGGTTTCTAGAGAGGTGAAAAACCCTGAAATCCTACTGGGACCTGACTCAGCAAGGAGCAGCATCTTGCCTGAGTCCATTCAGCGCTTCAGTCCTCTCGCTCACTTTGGCCTCTTCACAGAGGTGTCATTGTGTTGTGACTCGGGAACATCCACAAGGAGAACCATTCAAATATTTTCCTGCTGTGTAAATATCCCAAATGATAAGCTGAAGGACTGATATTCTCAAGCAATGTTCCCTCTAAGTTGCAGAGTCCTGTGAGCAAAAGTTCTCCTTTGTGAGCAACTGGCATTAAAGTTGTGAGTGAGCAATTTGACTACTGCATAAATTAGCTTGCTCTGGGGCCGTCTTTCCTGAGCTAGGACAAAAATCTGTGAGCTGGAGGCTAAA